TAAAATTGCTTCTTTGACGGCCAGTTTGAGACCACTACCCTAAATGTTAATTTTAGGATCTATAAACCTTCGCCTCCTAGTTTTTATAATATTTTATACATTTATAATTTTTCTTCTTTGTTGATTTTCCTCTCAAAACGAAAAACTTCCAATCTTGACTCAGTTCCAGTACATTTCTATAATTCTTTCTCTTGTGTAATTTAAGAGGTATCACTTCCATCTCAAGCCCAATTTTTTGTCAAGTGGATTGATTATAATTTCATTACTTCCATATTTGGCATTGTTTACCGCATCTTCATATATATCTCCATCGTTAGCATCTCTTAAGTCCCAGCAAAACAATCCTTAAATTCAGAGAGCTCCTATCGCATCGTTTCAATGGTATGCATTACATTAACTTCACATTCACATTTTACACGGTCTGTCTTCATATTTGATTCACAAAGAGTTTTATTTGATTCACAAAGAGTTTTCTTCATTTTAGATATACCTATTCGCAATTGTCCGACATATATATCTTTTTTCCGACAAATATCAGCTTCGATCACCTGTAGATTTGGTTAGTTACCAAGTCAGATATATAACTTTGAGCTATATATATATAACTTTATATTTAAATTATAGTTGATAAATTAAAAAGAAAGGAAGCCTTTGAGGCTTCCTTTCTTTTTAATTTATCAACTATAATTTAAATTTACCAAACAAAAGCGATTATCATATCCCCAACATTTGTGACGGAGTCCAAGTCATTATTAATCTCCCCCCTTTTCATGCGAAACTTCATGACTACTAGCCCCTGGCTTCACATTATTCTCATCTATCACATTCTCTTTACCTATTAAACTCTTTATAATATTAACATCTCTAAACTGCTTCTATAGCACTATCTGCCATCACAAAAGCATACAGTTATTATATAGTGTAAATTACATTAACACAATACAAAATTATATCACATGTTCAAATAAAATCAATACTATAGCCAATAGCATATAATGCTTTTTAAATTTGCAGTTAAGTTACTCTAAAAATTTAATTTGTATCTTTAACATTTAAATAATGAAGATCAAAAGACAAGAAATACACACAACAAAAATGTAGAATTAAATATAACAACACATATACACTAGACAAATTAATATGTGTTTTGCACAAATTAATATGTGTCGTCGACAAGCTCATAAACTTAATTCCGTAGTGTATTAAAAAAGCGTCATTTCCGGTTCTTCGGGCAGTACTCAAGAATAGGAAAAAATACTTCACATCACTGTCGAAATCAAATGGTGTGTCACCAGATGTACTATCCCATGAAGGAAGTACTTATCCCCATCTAATAATTAAGATAGTTTCCCCATCTAATAGTTTATGACTGCGAATCATTTCTGTAAGAATAATATTATTATCACATATAATCCTTAATCACAAATGTTCAAAAATATTCTTGACTTGCTTGCATAAAGAATGGAAAAGCTGTGATCATGACACAAATTAATAAACAATTACGTACGCTCTAATGATGTCAACCACGTAATACAAATATAATTAATTACAAAAATTTTAACACAATGAAAAGATTACATGTGGATGCTAGGTTTATTAACATTAATAGGATCATTAATGTCATATGTACACATTTTAATTTCATTATTATCAATACTATTTTATTTTTCACGAAGTGTTCTGGCAAGATGGTAGTGGAAAGTGTAAAGTTGCGTCATATTTAATTCAACATGGATTTTTCAACTTCAAACGTACAACCTTGCATTAGTAATTTGACTTACACAGAACACAGTTCTGCGCCACTTGCAGAACTCTGCTATTGATTTTCCCAGACAAGACTGGCGTAAGCATAAAATACTCCACGAGAGTGATCTATGCGCCACTACAATTAGCCTGATTAGGTTTAACAGATAACGTGGGAAAAACACATATAACTCTAAAAATACATCATTATCTACACTCGTGAAATAAATAAAGAGAATTTTCATATTTGATCTACGATCTCCAGAACTACTGGACAGATTTTAATACCATTTGGTGTGAACGTAGGTCGATATAATACAAACAAAATAAACATTCAACAGTTATAATAGACACACATGTTCGTGTGTAACACTCATGGGAGTCTGAAGGTCTGAAACAGCGGTTGCAGAAGACACAAAAGAAATGGGTTAATAGGGAGTTTGGTCCCCTCTTAGAGTCATACAGGCCTCGCAGCATGATGCCATAGTGGAAATAAGAAAAGCAGTTTATCAGTGCCTGTCGCAACTGGTCCCACTCATTCAGAAACACTGTTTTCACTTCCTGGATGGTTCTCGGAGAGGGTTGCGAGTTGCAATTGTCCTCTTTAGAGCATCCTAGACATGCTCTATAGGGTTGAGGTCTGGAGACCTGGCTGGCCAATCCATCCAGCAAATATCCTCACTCTCGAGAAATTCGTCGACCAGAAGAGTTCTGTGTGGCCTCGCGTTATCGTCAGGTGAACTCGGGGCCCACTGCACCCCGGAAAAGGCGAACATAGGGCTCCAAGACCTCATCCCTATACCTCACACTAGTCACAGAGCCTCTGTTAAAGACGTGGAGAGGTGTGCGGCCATCCAACATGATACCTTCTCAGACCATTACACTGCCACCTCCATAATTGTTGATTTTGTTGACGTTGGAGGATAGGTAGCGGGTCCCTGGCTCTCTCCATATGAAAGTACAGCGAGAATCGGTGTTTAGGTTAAAACGGGATTCGTCGATGAACAGAACCGGTCGCCCATTGCTGCGTACTCCAATCACTATGCTGCCTGCACCATGCTAATCGGACTCTTTTGTCCTTAGACGTGAGCGGGACACAGACAGCCGGTCTTCTGGCAAACAATCTTCTCTCATTCAGTCTTTTGGAAAGAGTTACCCTTGTTACTCGGGTTCCTGTGGCTGCATACAGGTCCCGAGAGAGCTGAGAAGCTGTATCTCCTCTGTAGCCCCTCTGTAACGCCTTGCTAAAATCGGACAAATAGAGATCTTCTCTGGTCATCGTGGCTCTTGGACGCCCATTGCTCGCAGGCTTTCTCTCTATAGATCCAGTATCCTGGAACTATTTCCATAGGTTACACATGACGCTGGGCGTTAAATTAAACTCTCTGCATATCTGGACTTGCGATTGGCCTGCCCCTAGCCTCCCCATAATTCCCCATCTCATTTCATCATCTAAACGTTGGTGGTTATTCATTTTTACTGTTCCGATGCGAATTTAACTGATTGCTGCAAGATAACACAAAGAAATTCGCCGAAGTGTGCTAGCGACTCAATTCGTCTTACCCTCCACGCGCTTATAAAGCCTATTTTACTGTTGGCTCCCTCTACACACATGTGTACGCTTACGTATTTACCGTACAAGATTTGCATTTTTATCTAGAAACAGTGGCGTTTTCTTCAATTCCGTTCTTTTCATGCAATTCGATAAAATATGCAAATTCTCTCAATTTATTTTACCAGTGTATAAAATAAAGTACAAAAACAGTTAGTTTAAAATCTTTCGCATTCAGGAAATTAAAAATTATTCAATAATAGTTCCAGAAAACCACATTTAAAATCAAATTAAAAGAGCTCACCAAAATCCAAAACAACAGCCACCTTGACATGCATAGAACTCTTATAGACATTCGCAGCTCAGGCGTCACTTAGTAGGATACTTCCCAGTAAACACTCATCTTTCGGCGAATTAAGTGACTAGAAACCTTCCACAATACTTTTAATCTATCGGCTGGGATACAGCTTGCTGGTCTCATTTTCACTACAAAAAATCATACGATCGGCTGAAACAAAATCGCCACTGCGGTTCGCTGCCGCATAAATTTATTTCAATGACATTTGTAATGTTATTCACTTTGTTTATGTTTCCACTATTAATGTTTTGCTGTCGGGCAGCTGTAGTACCGAAATCGAAACAATTGAAGTACGCTGCCGTACAGAGTTGGGCAAAATATAGCTGCATAGTTGGAGCATGTAATTGCAATTACACTGTAATTAGATTATGAAGTTACCCTCTAATTACATTTGCAATATGATATCAATTAAACTGCAACTACAATTACATTGTAATTGTGAAATACAATTAAAATTACAGTGTAACTGCAATCACACCGCAATTATAATTACAAAGTAACTGTATTATCCATTTACAGTTATATAGTAATAATGTAACAGTAATGAATACAGTTACAATCTTATTGCAATTATCCTGTTATTTTAATTACAAACTTACTGAACAATCTAATTACAATTCGCTTACGCGTCAAAATAAACTATTACGCTACCAGTGTATCACGGACTCTTAAGAGACTACTAAAAATATTCTAAAATATTTCATTTATTTAATAAAACATCACTCAGGTATATAACATTTTATTCTTCTTCAATAAGCCTAACTAACTACATAAACATATATTTCTGCTAATTCTATAAATTGTTTTGTTGCCACTTCTAAGAAACTAAATTAACAATAATTATTAGTGACCAAACGACATTAAATAAAAAATTACTGAAAGGTAAGTAAAGTTAAATTGAAGTACGTATAAAATAAAAACTACATTCATTTGAAATCCAACAATTACGACGTAATTGCTATTATGTAATCTAATTACAATTACGATGCTATTTGACTGTAATTTCAGTAGGTAATTATAATTAGGTAATTAGAAAAGGAATTGCTCCTGATAATTTCTTTTACGTAGCCGAGGGAAATAGGGATCATAATTGAAAATTCCACTAAATGATGAAATGGTTAACCATTTTGCGTAGCTTTGCAGAAACTACATTCTAAGAATAATCGTGCTCGCATTGAAGATAACTTGGACAAGGTCTCCTATTTTTTGGCAACCCTAAACCGCGGCTGGACATTTCGGAAAAATATGAATTCTCCTCTTATTGTTAAATTTTTATAGTAATAGTGTCTTATATTCTCACAGAAAATTTCAGAAATAATTTGCTAATTTCTAATTTTTATTCTTCAGACACTAAAGCGTCTTCAGCTATCGGAAGAAGGCAGACTAAGATGGGAAGCCGAAGCTGCCAGAGCCTCTGATGAAGTGAACGCACTGAGGTCTCAGGTTCAGCATCTAAGAACTGAATTCACGACTCACAGAGAAGATCTGGTCAAAAAACTTGCAGAGACGGAGTTCGATGCGCAAATGGTACAAGACTTGCACTCTCAAATGTAAGTAGCCTCATACTGCGATGAATACCCATTTACCTTCCCGGTGTTGTTATTATGACCGTTGACATTTATACTCGGGGAACGGAAATATCTATGTGATTTTCGATAGGGGTAAAATCAAAAAAGGAAAAAAAAGGGTTTCATAATAAACTCAAATGATTCTGTAGAGTAATACATGTTTTCAAAAACATCTTTTATTTATTACAGTAACGCTGCCTATGCTCATAAGATCATTTATTGGGCATTTTATAAATGTGAAACAGTTTTAAAAATATAAATTATTAAAAGGAAATTAAACCGAAAAGTGCGATGCCGTCGAGGTTCTTGGTACCTGACATGAATGCCACGAGTGCTTGCACATCGTAATGACTCCTGTAGGAACAACACGTGGTATGCCTTATAGATGAAAAATGCATGGTAGTGTTGTAAGGATCTTAAGTTTTACTAACGTTTATTTTTATTTTAAATCTTTACTATCACTTCTTATTTTCTACTTCCGGCCAGAATTAAAAAGCTTTAACTTGTTTATGCAAATTGTCTGGCGAACGCCAAGTACTTAAGTTGTGGCTTTTTGCCAAGCGAGAGAGAGGAAGGAGTTAGTCGAAGCAGGCCGCTTGCCTTAGAAGTTTTACTCGGTTGCTGGTTGCCTCCCAGGCCAGAGGTTTAATCCTCTTGATAATTTTAAACGTATTGTAGTGTTAACAGTTATCTGTACTACATACGGCTTCCTGTTAATATACGGCCAATCTTCCACGTTTATTATTCCAAAGTTAAGTTAGGGTTTAGTTAAATATTTTTATATTCTTACGTTCAGACCACAAGTAGTTGGTCTCTGTATTCCGAAGTACGGAAATTATTGTAAAGAGTGAAAAATAAAGGGTTTCGTATACCCTTCCTGTGTATCTTGTCTACTTCCCACATTTATTGAACATAGCTTTAGTAAGCTCCCTGTTCCGAGTCAGGTCTGTGCATGTTCCCAAAGAAAGTAAGACGGAACATTGAACCTGATAGTATAACGTAATTGTTAAGTAACGTAACAGCATAGTGCTCTAAAAATTCTGGAGTATTCATTAATGTTGCTTCTACGTCATAATTCAGAATTCGGGCATAATTTTGTTTTGGTTCACTGTATTAAACACATACCCACCAGTGGTGGAGCGGTAAGGCCACTGAACACCAGTAGTTCGACCAGGATTCAAATCGCGGAGGACGGGCTAGCTTTATGGGGAATTTCATAGTGGAGCGGTAAGGCCAGTGAACACCAGTAGTTCGACCAAGATTCAAATCGCGGAGGACGGGCTATCTTTATGGGGAATTTCATTATTTCCCCATGTTTAACTTGAATACGAATCAATCTTATAAATTTTCATTCATCTAAATTTAAAAATTACCACCATACGTGAAAAACACCCACTTGTATAAAGTCCTCCGTGAGGGTACACCTTCCCTTAGATAAATATCATTAGTGGAATCTGCATTATCCGAATAATCGGATCCACTTAATTTAATCCTCTATTAAGTGAGAAACATATTTGGGGCAATGCGGTATTTCCTAACCATGCATCAAATCTAAGCAGTCAAACCGCAGTCCAAAAGGGGCTTCAGGAGGGTGTAGAAGTACCGCTTTCAAAAAGGGTCAATATACCGAATAAAAAATAGCAAATGCACGCAAAAATGTTATCCTATTATAAGAGAGACTAGCCGGCAGACTGTCTGTCTACTTTTCGTGGTCATGGTTTCCATCGCACTGCAGAAAGGGTTTAAATATAGGTTCTCGAAAAAGTGCATATTCGGGGAAATTTTAAATATCAGAGTGTTCCTGCTTAGTCTAGTAATTTTTTGCCCTGCGATGTAAACTAAGAATTAAAAATAAAATCAAAAGAATATCTGAAAGCCTTCAGATTTTATATTACGCCCAAAGGGGCGTTTTTTAACGTTTTGTGTGCTACCTTTAATTATTAAATATCATGTTCTTCGCACTTAAACCACAAAAAAATTCAGTTCAACAGCAATATCAAAAAATATTAAAAAATAGCATAGCTTTAGAATTTCCGATACACAGTCTTGTGTGCTGAAGATATTTTTTATTATTATTATTTTAAATTTTGCCTCGTGCAAGTTGCTATTGCTCGCTTTGGAGTCATTCAGTTTGTTATTCAAAAATTCGTTAAGTTTTACATACCACGAGATAGATAATAAAACAAATTCGAAACTCATAATTCGGGCTTCCAGGTGCTCATGTTCGGGTGGAGGATTACGTTATTCAAAATTTGCTACCTCTAAGTACCGTCGTTTCTTCACAGATGTTTTCTGAGCTGTAAGATCTTTACGCAGGCCATGAAGTCCATGCTATTTGGTAACTGCGTGAGTTGTAAGGTTCTTAATGCATCTTTAATGCGGCAGCGCAGAGAGCAAGTTCTAAGAATATTATCTTTTCGATGTGACACAAAAACAATTTATCTTTCAAATTATAACAACACGCCGGAGAATAAATGCTTAAATATACAATTGTTATACTAATTTTTATTGATAGCTATTATCTTTAACATTTATTTCACTACATACTTCACAAAGCTGAGCTGTTTGAACGCAATAAATGAACTGCTTAATAATTTCAATCTTTATTTCATTGTTGAAATTCGAAGCACCTAGGAGAGTGTTTCCGAAATGTTTGAATTTTTGGATTACGTTACGCTAAGTCACCACGTATTTAGCATGTGCGCCACTTAGCTAGGTAGACAATGCGAGAAAGATTAGAGTTCTAATTAAGCTTAATTAAGTTTTAATTAAGCTAACGTAGCCCGACAAATAGCCAGCTTGAAGTATATTGCTATTCGAAGGGATATAAGATCTTTAATTTATTTTTTAAATTATGACTTCTTAAAACAATGAGCGGCTTAGATGCATAAATACTCTTCCTAATAATTTAAATCCTTTTTTTTTTATTTTTAAATTATATACATCATTTATATCTGATAATTTTCATCAAAGAATACTATTAACACAATATATTACACACTTCGGTCCAGAGTTTGATTTATTTTTCTTATAAGTAATTTTATTACGTAATAAAGCCAAGAAAAAAAGACGGAAACGTCAGATAAATTCTCCCATAGCACTGAAACTGAAAGAAAGGTAAATATTCAGAATTTGGCAAGAATAAATATACCAGAAACCCCGGAAGAGGAGAGGAAAAATCGAAGATTTGGATTACGATAGCTAGCATTGTACTTTTATTGATTCCGATGTTCTCTTGTTAATACTTCGTGTCATTGATAGTCCCCTTATTTATCTCTATCGTAAATCATTTCTGTTGCAGTGATGGGGCGAAAAATCGCTGTTCTAACCCTAGCTTAGGCTTAAGGCATACACCCTTCTGCATTTCTTGGAAAACTTCTTCTGAACAAAACTGGGACGGAAGCAGTTTTTCAATAAATTATGTTATACTATACAAAATAGAAATTACTTCTCATGTATCCAACTTATAGTTTCAAAAAAACTGACTTTTATTAACTAGAATAATGATAAATTATGTCTACAGAATTAAAACACGAAAAACTTCTGGCGTTAGAAACATTCATAGCAAAATTTTTCCTAGACTTGTGGAAACTCACGCTACGTTGTCATGCATATATACCTACTCGCAGTTGGCAAATGTTCCTTTCAAGCAAACATTGCGCTGAGCCATACTAGTGACTGCTGAAACATAGGTCCCCAATGTCCTCCGATTTAATTTTATTTTTAAAATCTATCTAAATTTACTGCATTGCTCTACATCAGTGACCTATGGAATGAGATGACTCCAGTGACTACTAAGCTTTATGTCACCAGTGACAGGTTGCTTTAACTCACACTGATGTTTTATGGTTCAGCGATCTGTTAAAACTTAGTCCTCTGCCCAGCATTAGCGACCCATGGGTTGGCTACCATTGACTATTGACCCATAGTTCACTGAAAATCCATATACTTCGTTTAAATCATAGTTTAATAATGTATTTATATTTACTGCATGGTGTTATACTGGGGACTTGTTGAATGATTACCAGTGGTCAGTTTGTAGATTATGATTAAACATCAAGTCATCTGTAGAGTAGTTCGGCTTTTTTTGAAGCAGGAGAGGTGAAAAATGTACATCGTCTTCTCTGAGACTCGAATCTTCAACCTCTCGAATACGCATCGTGTATGCTTTCAGTTACACCACTAAGGTATACACAAAGGAGGGATAAAATACCTTATATACTCCCCCTTTTAAAGAGCGACTGGGGATGAAGGGACCCAGTCGCCAAATCCTGGTGGTGACGAACTATCGTCTACCACCTTTCAGTTCGGTCGCCACTTGTAGAGCTATGAGGATTTCTTTAAAGCGGGAGACACAGAAAATGTCTAATGCCCTCGCCGAGACTCGAACCCTAGATCTCTCAAATATCCCTCGAGTATACTTTCAATTACACCACAAAGACATGCGGGAAGGGAGGAGAAAATACGTTATATACTCCCCCTTTTAAAGGACGACTGCGGATGATGAGACCCTAGTCGCCAAATCCTGGTGGTGACGAATTATCGTTCAGAAAGGAGGGAGAAAATATCTTATGCATCTTTGGTTTAATTTTATTTTAATTAAACCAAAGATGCATAAGATATTTTTATGATATATATATATATATGATTTTAGGTAAATTAATTTATAGTATGCCAAATGAATCATTTTCGTTAACATTTGCAACATTATTGTAACTAGTTAAATATTCATTTGATGTCATATATTATGCACTTGGCGCAGAATCGACTCGAGATGCATGTTAGGTTCATTTAAGCTTTAGCAGATATACCATTCAACTAATTTACACGATATGCGCCGCATCAGTGGGTTAAAAAGTAGGATTAGAATTTAAGATTGGTCTCATTGCACCTCAGTTTTATTTTCTTGTTGTTGCACATTAAAAGGATTTTAAGTTCCGTGTACTCTTACGTGGTATTTCAACAACTGATAGGTAAATTATTTATATTTACTTACTTAATTGATCAAAGCAAAATAAACGATAAATATATCCCTTGGAGGAATAATGCCTTTTGTATTTTGTCATGAAAACTAGCTCGTTTCACACTATACATAAGGAAAACAAGAGGATTTTAATGTTAGCAGCCCATTCACCAAAAGATTCGAACTACCAGTATTTAGTGATCTTATTAAGTCGGTCACTGATGTCCAGTAAATTATTCCTAAAGAACATCTTAACCCGTTGTTCCGAATTTTCACTCTAATTTTTCATGAAAATATTTTTTGTGTATAATTTTACTTTATATGCGATACTGTATTTTTAAAAGAGTATTTTAATCTCTTATTCTAAATGCTATCGGAAAACAATTGTATTTCATAAGATATCCTTGTCTATCGGAAGGGGGGGTGGTTAATAGAAACTGACGGTTAAAACATTGACGGGTAATTGGTTTTCCACTGTAAAAAACTAAAATGCAATGAATAAAAGATTTAATCCAATTCCTTAAGCATTTTGAAAACCAATTCAATAGACGCAATTAATTGTATTCCTTTTCTTTTTAATTTTTTCAGTGAAGACCAGCGACGCCTGGTGGAAGAGATGCAAACTCGTCTGAAATGGACAGAAGGAGAGAGAGATCAACTACAAACAGAACTTACCACCCGCCAACATGACCAAGTGCAGGTACTGCGGCAAGCTTTTTTTTTTTTTTTTTTTTTTTAATATCTGAATCGTGATAGCACGAACATCAAATTATCTCGAAAACAATGCTTCAGTTTCACCTTAGGAGTGTCTAGCGTGCTGTAATTGTACGAAATTAGAAGCATTCAAATTAGTAGCTTGCTGTATAACTTGCTAGCGAAACTGTTATGCAAAGTCACTGTTTGTAATGGCTGTCTTCTCGCTTTCTCCGTGAATAATGAAAGTAAGTATCAGTTATTATATGCAGTAAATTAATTTTGAAGATTCGAAGCCTGTTTTATTTTTTAACAATAACACGAATGTATAGATACGCATCTAGCATTAAAAAATCAATCTAGAAGATTACAACGTATTAAAAATACAACTTTCGTCAATGGATTTTGTTGGCTACATTTGTCTCATTTATGACATTGAAGCTCAGAGTAAATAAAAAAGCTAACAAACTCTTCTAATTTCTCTTTCGCTGTACTGTTTCACATCAGAAACCGAAGTTGCTCAACATATTTCTTACAAACGACGCTATCGAATATTTCGTTTGCAATCACCAAGAAACTTTCAAGGAAGGCCAATCATATGAACAAAACAATATGCGGAAAGTGATATTTAGTAATCGCCCGCAAAAATCAGAGCGGAGCGACGCATGCGCCCTAGTGAGTGTCATGTGATGTCTCTTCTGGAAGTTGATGTAATAAGCTGGCTAATTGGTGCCAGTTGATGTTCCATTGCATCATTTATCTCAAGAGCCGTAGCAATTTCTTCACTTTATTAGGTGCTGTCCTGTATTTTCAAGCAACTGCTGTTAAAGACTTTTGTTGCTTTGACAGGGTAAACAACTTCTCTACAAAGAGCTTGTTGATGTACGCTAGAACCATATCTTCTGATTTATCATCTTCATCCCTTCTGTCCCCAGTATTTATATCACAACATGAGGATTATATGCCATTTTTCTAAATTAAGCAATAGTCACGTCGTATTGCTTAATTTAGAAATTAAGCAATACGATGTGATTTATTTATCAATTTTTATAATCCTATCTTCCAGGAACGTGCATAAGGAAATAAGAACCTCGTAACTAGCAAATATGTTATATTTGCCAGTTCGGTCGCTGCAGAGATAGCTGGCGCGTGCAACCTCTGTTCTCTATGTTAAGGACGACAGCGAAATGCTATACTTCTCATCTATTTTTCAATTTAAATCGCATAATCTGTTTTTATTTCTCATGCTGTTCACATGCTTGATCCCCCCTTGAAAGTTTTGCAGCGATCTGTCTTCGTGAAACCTATTAGCAAATTCTTTGCTATTAAAGAATAACACATTTATGCACGCATCTTCCCGAATATTTGAGAATGCATTTTACAGAATGCTTAGTAAAACAAACATTTACAATATTTTGAATAAGGAAAAAAGAAAAGTACCTTATGTTTAAATTGCAATAAACTTTAACGCAGCTAATTCCACTGTTTTTAAATCATTTCAATTCATTTCTCAGTAATTAGCTGAGACAGTTTCAGTTTTGCTGCTGAGGATTTAAACTGCTTAAATATTTTTACGCTTTCTATAAAATGGTTTCCAGACGTTTGTAAACTATAGTGAAGTTTTTGAAATTTATTTCTTAAATTGTTTTCACGATGTCTTAGATAGGAACTTGATTTAAAAATCTAACTAAAGTATATAGATATTGTTTGAACGAAGAATAAGCATATTTAGAGTAAAAACAACAGAAGAATTTGAATTTTTGACATCGTAAACTTTACATAACAGACAGGATTTTATTATTGACAGAATTTATTTTTTTAGACAGTAACATCCATAAGAAGTATTAAAAATGCTTTGAAAATATTTTGAAAATTTAAGAACGCATCAAACTAGTATGATACATATGAAAAAGATACATATAACCTTTTAATAACATGTTGTTAACATTTTATCAACGATCATATCATTGCTAAAGTTAATAAAATTATTTTTAGCACCATATTATAATATTATGTTCTCTGTGTTTCTGTTACACGCACCACGTACTACATTGTCACTGAAATGGTAACCAGGGATAATCAATGTAACGAAGATTTAATAAATACCGAATTTTTGTATTTTTCTTTTAAATCTAACCATGGATATATTTTTTACTTAGAAATGCTGTTAGCAGAGTCCTTCCAAAATTTTTTAAACGTTACGTTGTATTAGGTACGCTATTATGCGTTTGTCATCCACTTGGTACTGCGAACCATTGCCACTGCACAAAATAATGCCCTGCCCGCACTAATGTTAACCAATCCATGGTGCTAACATCGACGGTCACCAGCTTCCTTTGATTTAATTATATATATATTTTTAAACTATTGAAACTTACTACTATGCCCCACACAAATGACCTTTAGGTGGATTGCCAGCAACAGTCAAAGTCACCTGTGACCAGCTGCCTTAACGGTTGCCGGTGCCCCTTGATTTAATTTTATTTTTATAATATATTGAAATTTATCGCTCAGCCTTACACCAGTGACTTTGAATCGATTGCCAGTGATCATAAATTAATAGGTCACTGGTGACCAGTTATCTTAACGGATATCAGTACACTTTGATTTAATTTTATTTTCATAACCGATTGAAATTTACTGCCCAGCTGTTGACCTTAGGGTTGACTGCAAGAACTATCAATTAATAAGTCTTCGATATCCTTTGATTTAGTTTAACAATCTAAATTTACTGCATTATCCCATTTTTAATTTGTTCGTCATTTAATTTGTCTTGGGTGTTCTTTGAATGTGATACTACAATACAAGATAAGTAAAAATAATAATAATAATTCTATTACAAGCAAGTTGTAGTGAACCATGCAACTGACATGTATTTGACTGTGATAAATTAAATTAAATTTCAACTATCCAAATTTCTTGTTTCATGTTACATGTTCTGTATGACGATCTGTTCTGAAAATGACAATGCATTGCTTAGTTGATCTTGAAACTGAAATGCTAAGAAATTTGAATAATTAAATTTTGATTTGATACATCACATCAATCTATTGTTTAAATGCATACAATTTTCAAATAAATTATTTATTGTAACCATTTGTAGTAGGAGGACTCTTCTTTGATGTATGTGTGTAACATGAATACGAGACAATTCCCTTAGAAAGTCCTCCACGAAGGCATCTCTTCCCTTACACAGATAGCCTTTATATGCCATAGTCCAATAACCTAATCAAACCATTTTTAACTTAATCTTCTTTATATAATATATTTTATGTATACCCTTGGTTTTTACCGAATGCGGATGTAATGCTCTGCAATTGCTGTTTTTTTGTGAGAAACGAAAATTCTTTTTTTCTTCCAGGTCGAAAATGGACTGCGGCAGGAAGTGGAGACTTTGAAAAGAAGGTAGAGAACCTTCATCTCCAACTACTTCTCCCTTTGCTCTCTCTTAACCAACCTACTCTTCCTCTATCTTTTCACCGCCATCACCACCGCAGGAGTACTATCCATAAATCTCGGAAATGTCTTCCTTCTTTAATGAAAAGCAGTGCCTCTGGAAATCACTCGCCGGCTTTTTTACATACGTAGATTCTTCTTTTATGCAAGAGGTGCCCCTGCTAACTAAGAATAGATTCTCAATGGTGCTTGAGGATTGCTGCGATGACTAACCACAGACGCTTGCAGACCGCGCCAGAAACTAAACACTATTAATGCATTTCTTAACATGCTGAGCTTCAGTTGTTAGCATTACAATGCACTTGTACGACATATCGCGTACCACTTAGAATTACCTCAGAATTTCATTTTTTGAAACGTCTAGAACTCTAATATCCAAATTCCAAGTTTTAGAAGTTTCATTGTCCTGATCGTTTTTATCCACGTGAGTTGAAATTGAGCTTCTTAGTTAATTTATTTAATTTTTTTTTCGTTATTTATACATTGCATAACCTTATACACAAATTTTAGAGGGAAATTTTCTATGCTTATTCAAGGGAAACTCTCAAAGATAAACTATAGTGAAAGTCACTATCACCACATCTCAGCTTTAATTTTTGTAGAATATCATCTGCTTAGGGTATAAAAAATTCAGTGGTAGTTTAGTTTTGATTTTAAACAGTTGATAATTGTCATGGATTCAACGGTTTGACACTGAGAAGTAATAAATTTTTTTTCTCACAGTCAACTATCCTTCTCTTAATTCATTGCCAGGAAGGCTATAACTATTTTAGTCATTTCCTTACTCACCAGATTCGATATCTGCGAGCTACTTTTCATTCCCTAGAGCGAAATCTCACCTTAATGAGCATCTTTTGAGATCATTTCTGGAAGCACAGCAAGGGAATAAAGCAATATTCAAAAAGTTTACTTTTACGAACATATCCAGAATTTTTGCGAACATGCCGATAGATATATAGCGTCAGAAGAGATGTATATTGAAAACTAAATAATCATAATATTTTCCCGAATATAATATCATAATATTTTCCCGAATATAATATCATAATATTTTCCTGAATCTTTTTTATTATGAATTTAAAGCCGAAATTTTATAGACCCACTGTACAAGTACAATGAACCTTTCCATGGCGACTACTTCCCTAAGACCGGAAATAATAATTACTTCTAAAAGTTCTCATTATTTCTGACAGCAAAAATTAACGCCAATGTTGAACATCATCCCTTTATGACTGCCATCTACACAGAAGAACACATCTTTTGAAACCGTGAGTGGTCGTCTTAGAATGTTACATTCTATTTTCACTTAAGCTAAACTTACTAGACTGCCAAACAACTTTTTATCCCAGTGTAACTTAAAATGCTGCAATATAAAGAAACACAACAAAATTTAAAAAATACAATGAAAATATTTACTTCTGCTGTATGTTTTATAACTAAAAGTGCTGGAAACAGAGTACCTTAATATTTACAAATCAGAATATATTAAATCTAAGAACCTGGTTACTGAGTTAACGCGCGTTCTCGTGTAACTACAAGTGTAAAATTCTCTCAGTGACAATCAGCACTCTATCCAGAAGAAAGAAACAGAGATTATTACAATGAAATGTTGTAATTATATTACTACAGTATTTAGTTACCTATTACTGCAGAACAGGAAGGATTTAACTTCCCTGTACTAAAAGTACAGGGAAGATTCAACATAAGAAATGCCAAGTTAATTCAAATAAATCAGTCTTAGAGAAAATTTCATTGCATATATATTTTTAGAACGCATTAAATTAATTTTGATTACCGGCAATGAATTATAAAAAATATCGTAAGCAAATAAATCAGTAATTAATTTATAGAAAGTCAACAAACATTGCTGTTGCTTATTTAATTCAGTAACATATCAGCACATATCAATAACACAGTACGACATATCATATGCTAAATATGTACTTAGAATAATAATAAATAATTTAAAAGAATTATATACTAGTATATAGGCGTATTGTTTGCTTATTCTAAGAATATCATTGCTTAGCGTAACACGCGTTTCTTTTATATAAATAGACATAACATTGTGATAGCGTTAGGCCTAATTTTTTTTGTCTACCCAAGCAGTTTTTGTTATAAAATGTTCGATGTAATTGCATTTAGCCTTTTTATGCATATCCCGATTTTACTATAATACGTGCCCCCCCCCACACACAAAAGTTATACTTAATGTAAATAAATCAAAATGCAGAAATCCACAATGATAAAACTCCTTATTTTCAACGGATGTTTTGTTTATTGTATTTGCCTTTACAAATATTCACCTGTTTCACACCTATCGCAATGTGTAACGTGTATACGAGCCAGTTTCCCTTAGAAAGTCCTCCACGAAGGCATCCCTCCCCTCAGGCAGATAGCCTTCGAGGCTTTGCCATAATTACACACACACACACAAAACCAAACCAAACCACGCCTATCGCAAAAAACAACATCAAAAAATATTTTTCAACAAATAGACTCTGGCTTATAATCGTCTGCGACTCAGGTTGACGCCAAAACATTTCACAGAGTAAGCCGTAGATATTGCCAACGTATTTTCTTAAAATTAATGTGTATGCATTAATACATTATTATCGTATTCATTTAAAATTACCATAATTATGGTCGTTATTCTTCTAGGAATGCGTACGAAGCTTCTGCTTTAAATATTTCATTGAGTTAAATAATAGTTGATTCCGTTAAGAATAATAGTTGATTCCGTTCAGTGGCATCGTTCAAGTTCTCTTGTAAATATTATTCTTTTGACGTGATTTGTAACTCTTTTTTTACGTTTCGAATAGCGTTAATTCTTTTATTATTTGTAATATGTTCTTTTTGTTTTCGAATACTGATTTTACATAACAAATGAATTTATTATCCAAATTAGACGCCTTAAAAATGCAGATAAAGTGTTAAAAATATTTTCTGTTAATTATAATATATGTTATTCCTTTTTACCGCGTTTTTATAACTCGTCTGATTAACCTTAATTTTAAATTAAACACTTAATCGGGATTTTACCATGTGGCATCGTTTCTGCAAACATAGCTAAGTTGTGATATGTTTATTTCTACAAAAATTGAGCGTAGCTTGTAGAAGGTACAAAGAAAAACGATTAGCACCTATATTAACGATCAGTATTTTTTAGAAATGAATGTTATATTTGCATACTCTAAAGTCATCGCAGAAATCCATATACTTTTTTTATTCAGATGCTATTAGAGGTTTGTGAATTTACTTAAAAACCCAAGAAATACTATATTCTTATGTGCCCAATAAAGTGAGTGACTTATTTAGTGTTTCTTTTCTGTGGGAATAAAGGCATTTTATTTAATTTCCGGATTAATATTTAACAACGGGTGTGGCTTCTTCTTTTAACACAATTAATATTCATTTCCTTCATAATATTATAACAAAGTACTGACGAAATTATTCTTTTCAAATTTTCTTTTTCAGAAAACACAAGTAATTTAAATTTTATTATATAGCAAAACAACATTTATACGGTCTTTCAAAGTATCATACGAAAACGATACGTAAATGCGAAACAATTATCACAAAATTTCAGCCTTGTTATGTAATATGCACATTTTAGTTACAGAATTTTACTGCTATTACTATTATATGATATACTATATAGTTATAAAATTTAATTTTATAATCCTGATTTTAGTTTGTGTAAAATATTATCTATATTTTTTAAGATGTGAAACATTTAATTTTTATAATTATAACGGTTTAAATTGTATAATAGTTAAGAAAAAGACCATAATTTTGTTTCAGTGTTTGTTTTGAACAAGTAATTCGTGTTTTTATAAAGGTTTTAATACAAACGTAAGTTTTAGTTTTCCTTAAAGAAAGCAAAAAAAGTATCATAAGTGCCCTTTGATTTTGAGCTTTCAGCAAAATGCTAACAGGGCAATGAGCACACAGTATTCCATTTAAGCTATACTTAACATAAAGATATAATGAATAAATGAAGATTATTAGTTCATATGAAGTTGATGAATATGAAGTTCATATGAAGTTGATGAATATGAAGTTCATATGAAGTTGACAGGTTGGCTGATGGAAAACATATATCTTAGTTCATATGAAGATATAATGAACTAAGGTATATGTTCCCCATCAGCCAACCTGTCTGTTCAACATACTGCACCATAAAGTCTATACTTTCAAGTGTGCTTCCATCCAGCTGCCGGATTTGAATCCAATCTGAGTATAAATGAGAAAGATATACACGTTGCTTCATTCTATATGTATTTTAATTGAATATTTATTTATTTATTTTCAGTTTCTTTCTAAGTTATATTTTTCAATTTATAATGTTTAAGAACATCATCATTTATTCATTCATATAGAATCGAATCTGCAATTTTTCCTATTATTCAATTTACAGGTTGTTTCAGCAAATCTGTTACAGACTCTCAGGAGAGATAGGGTAAATTTAGACGATGGGAAAACGCATAACAATGCATGGTCGGAAACGCTTTCCTAATGCGATAGTTACGACACAAAGCGCAAGAAAGGAAGTCAAAATAATGCTTATTATGCTTAATGCAGCGGAAATTAAGAAATAAGAACAAAAACAGACGATCATCATCAAAGAAGGTGTTCGAAATTACGACCTGGACGGTGATGCTGGAACCGTGTGCTTCATGTATCTTCTATGCGCCGGAGATGTTAGGCCTGCATCACGTACAGGGGTCGTAATTTCGAATACATTCTTTCGTTCGAATCTTATCTGTTTTTGTTCTCATTTGTTGATTTCTGCTGTACTAAACAAAATAACATATGTTTTGTCACGCTGTTCGTGTCCTTCCTTTTTTTGTGTTTTCTGTCGTCTCTACGGCACCAAGAAAGTGTTTCCGACTATGCATTGCTATGTGGTTTGCCATCATCTAGGTGTACTCTATCTCTCCTGAAAG